CAGAGTCAGGTAGAGTATTCCAGACATTGACCGCTCTGTTGCTGAAGTCGTATTTCCTGCAATCAAGTTTGGTGCGGTTAACCACTTAGACTTCTACACTGCTTCACAGTGCTTTTACAGCCCTCTCTCAGCCCTCTCAGTTACAGCCCTCTCTTAGCCCTCTCAGTTTTCAGAATCAGCCTGTTGCCCCACAACAATATTCCTTAATAGTTGAGCACCCATACTCAGGGTCTCAATGTAGAAAGTCTTACCCCGAATGTCATCTCCCTTAAAGTCAGTTGGACTACCCAATTCAATGTCTATGATGGTTGCTCAGCTGTCAGCAGCATCTAGGCCTCCTGGAGTTCAGAAGGACTGGACCTGTTTGAATACTTGGATGGGAAGCTTACTCACCTGGAAATCCCATTCTTTATAGGCTAGGAAAGTAAAAAAAACCTTTCCAGAAAAAGGATACGACAAACCCATGCACAGTTGCCAAAAAACCCTATGTGGGCCTGTCATGTAGGATTTGAGTTTGACTGGAGGAATTTAAACAAGATTTTGCTACATCTTAAAAACTAGTGCAGTTGATGGTCCAGGCTCTCAGAAGCTCTTCAAACCCACACCTGAAATACTAAGGACAAAAAGTGCCATTTCATCACTATCCTTCTCTCAACTGCTGTAGGATTTGGAATAAAAAAAGAGATTGCTTATACCTTCCAAACACACTTTTATTTCATGATGTAGATATTTGTTTAAGCATAGGCCCCAAATCCCAGTAGCTCCTATGGAACTGCAGAGCTGCCAATCTCCCCCTTTCTTCTTAAAAGACCCATGGAAACAGCTTGAGTTATACATGGCGAATTATGAACCCCAAATCTCTGTTGGTAAGCAAGATAGTTGTTGAGTTTTGCTCCATTTTGCAACCTTTCTTGACATAGTAGTTAAATGAATCCCTGCAATTGTAAAGTTAGTAACAGGGTTGTTAAGTGAATCTGACTTCGCTTATCAAAAGGCTGCAAAACCTTTGACCCCAGGACACTGCAATTATCATAAATATCAGCCAGTTGCTAAGTGTCCGAATTTTGATCCCATGCCTGTGGGGGTGTTGCAATGCACATAAATGTGAAAAATAAGTCACAAAATATCTTTTTCAGTGCTGCTGTAATTTCAAATGGTCACTAAACGAATGGTTGTAAGTCGAGCATTACCTATACAAGAGCCATGGTGGCACAGTGGTTAGAATGCAGTACTGCAGGCTACTTCTGTTGTTGATTGCGGGATGTCAGCAGTTGGGCAGTTCGAGTCTCACCAGCTCCAGGTGGACTCAGCCTTTCATCCTTCCGAGGTCAGTAAAATTAGGACACAGATTGTTGGGGGCAAAAGGCTGACTCTGTAAACCACTTAGAGGGGGCTGTAAAAGCACTGTGAAGTCTACGTGCTGTTGCTATTTCTCCCCTTCTTCTTTCCTTGGTCCTGGTGGTACAGTAGTTAAGATGCAGTGTTGCAGGCAAACTCTGCCCATGGCCAGCAGTTTGATCCTCACTGGCTTAAGGTTGACTCAGCCTTCCATCCTTCTGAGGTGGGTAAAATGAGGACCCAGACGGTTGTGGGCAAAAGGCTGACTCTGCAAACCACTTACAGAGGGCTGTAAAGCACTGTAAAGTGGTATATAAGTTTAATTGCTAGTGCTAGTGCTATACTTGAGTTTCAATCAGCCCCCGTAGCACCAACTAAAAATTGAATCAGCTCTCAAAACTAGCCACTGTGTTATGGGAACACAACACATGGGTCTGGTTGAAATCTGGTTTCAAACTGGTTCAGAGTTACTTTGTAGCAGTGATCTTATTTTACACAGTGTATAGGAAATCTGCAACTTACAACCATTCATTTAGTGACCATTTGACATTGCAATGTCATTAAAAAAAGTAACTTATGACTAGTCCCCACACTTATGACTGTTGCACCATCCCCATAGTCATATAATCGAACTTTGGCACACGGCAACTGGCATGTATTTTCGATGGTTACTGCATTCCAGGGTCATGTGATCACCAGGTGTGACCTTCTCAGCTATCTTCTGACAAGCACAGTCAATGGAGATTTGCTTAATGATCAGGTGGTGCACTTAACAACTGCAGTGATTCACTTAACAACCATGGTAACAAAGATAATAAAATGGGAGCGACTTCCTTAAGGACTGCCTTGCTTAGCAACAGAAATTCTGGTCCCAGTTCTGGTCGTAAGTGAAAACTAGCTGTGTTCCTCAGCCTCTGATCAGGTTGAGCAAGTCATGAATCTGCCTAGACTGGCGTTTCTCATCTTTGGTGACATTGGCTGGCTGAGGAATTCTGGGAGTTGAAGTCCACCCACCTGGAAGTTGCCAAGGTTGAGAAAAAACTGGCCTGGGGAAATGAAATCCAGGCCTTTTCATTCTGGAAGTTGTGATTCAAAACCACATTTCAGGTTTCTGGGTTTTCAGTTGCCATCGCCCACACACCTCTTAGTCATCAGGACTAGAAACTGGATATTTTGCAGAAAATGGCAGACTTCTATTTCTCTCTGTTTAAGTGTCTGTGGAGGTTCTCAATCATCCAGGTCATGGTTGTCCCAAAGATGCTTCTCAAAAGACAACTGGATTTTCTTGGGTTTTTTCCCTTGAAAATGTTTCACTTCTCAACCTAGAAGCTTCTTCAGTTCCAACTGACTGATGGAACGAAAGGATTTATATACTTTGCAGTCATCTGGACCTTCAGAATTCTAACACCCAGACAACTGCAAAGAATATAAGTCCTTCTTTTACCTGTCAGTTAGAACTGAAGGAGCTTCTTGGATGAAAAGTGGAATGTTTTCAAGGAAAACCCCCCAAGAAAGTCCAGTTGCCCTTGGAAAAGCTTCTTTGGGGACCCTGTATTTAAGCTTAAGCTTAAACATGTCAGTTCCATTTCATCCTCGACCCCCACAAAGTGGTAAAAAAGAGAGAGGAAAGAAGAAATTCTATTTCAGATCTTTATGTTTTCAGCTTCATCATTGGAATGGGATTCTAAGCATATTCGATGTCTTTTGCTCACTGATCCTGCTGTGAAAATATATTTGAAACTGTGAAATGTTTTCATGGGGGTGCCTTTGAAGTGCAGGATGAGTTGTATAAAACACTTCCCCAGTAAATGTCATACTTTCTGCAGAATAATTCAATAGCACTTCCATATCAACCTTCTGGCTGAATAAATGACCATACCATGCTATATAGGTAGTCCTCAACTTACAACCATTTTGTTTAGTGAGTGTGTTTGAAGTTCACAACTGAAAAAAGTGATTTATGTCCATTTTTCACATAACTATTGCAGCATCCCCAGAGTCATGTGATCAAAAGTTGAATATCCAAGCAACTGGCATGTATTTATGATGGTTGTAGTATCCCTCGGTCTTTTGTGACCTTCTGACAAATAAAGTCAACAGAGAAGCCAGATTCACTTAATAACCATGTTGCTAAAAATTAACTGCAGTGATTCCCTTAACAACTGTCTGACTTAGTAATGGAAATTCTGGGCTCAGTTATGGTCATAAGTTGAGGGCTACCTGTAATGTTATTTGGATTGGGTTCGGTTCATGACGTATCTGTAAAACCTACCATTCTGGTCTGTAAATCAGGCTTATGATTTATGTTTGGTCTTTGGATGGCTAACAGTTAACAAAATGTCATATATTCCAATTCAATTTAATTGCTGTCATAGGCCAGTATAGATAATAAACAAAATAAAACTTAAGACAGAATTAAAATACATTTGTAAAATAATTTACCATCTATTATGTGAGGTCCAGCATATAGCCTCTATTACATTATAATGAAAAATAAAATAAAATTATATTATGATAACATCTAAAGTTACAACAAAGTAACAGTATCTAAAACTATTAGTGTCAACAAATTTAAACAAATTATAGTTATAAAGAATGCATTGGGGGAGATGAAATGCCAAATAAAATAAACCTCTCTCCCAAACAATTAAGATATAAAACCTATACTAACCATGCATCTAATAAATGAACAACATCCCATGGGTTCCTGCTAATCTTGTAACCCTACGCCTGGAAACAGAGTGTTGTCTGAATGCATTCAGTTATGGCTTTTTCATCAAACTATAGTTCAGGGCAAAGGGTGAAGCCAGCCATTCTGTACTTATGACACTTCTTAAGACACTCTGCATGAAAACAAGCCTGTATAAATATCTTGAACTGAAAGACTTTCCATTTGAAATTAGATTTCTAAATTGCATTCTTTTGAGTACAATCTGTTTACTTAGAAAAACATTTTAGAAGCAAAGCCAAAAACACTCTTCTTTCCTGCGAAGGTCAATCTGGACTTATGAATTCCAGTAAATATTTATGGCTCCAACCCATGGAATTTCATACAGATTGGCCTTCCCGTCCTTCCTTGTTATTTATTTCTTTACTCAAGAAAACTGCAGGCTTTTTGGCCCGGGGAAGTGATTTACTCATATCTGGTTTATTTTTGTAATCTTAATTATGGGGAAAGAAAAGACCCAGGTTCAACCCACTCAGGAACAAGAGTTAAAAAAACCAAGATGGTACCCATGAGTGGGTGACCAAAGCCCTACCATATGTTACTAGACACATAAAAAGGGCGGGGCTTTCCATTGAGCAGCCCAAGACATCATCTTGACTTCTTCTATTTCCATCCATGGATACTCCTGAATTCCACCTTTAATCATGGAAATTTACTGGTGACTTGGAGCCAATGATTGTCTCTAGAAGAGATG